AACTTAAAACTTTAACGAAAAAAATTGTTAGCTCTGCAAAGTAATTAAAGGCTATTATTCTTTCATAAGTATATGAAATAATTTGACTATACTGCACGACTGCGTGATAAATTAAAATGAACAATGCCGATACACGTTACAATTTTGAACAAAATACAGCTGAGCTAAATTATCTGAGTTCGTTAGTTATGGTATTAACGTAATATTCACTTTTTGACATTTTACATATGACGGTATGATGGACAGAAAATGGATAAAGGCAGATCACAAAGATCTAAGGTAGATATTGTAGTAGAATTTGCAATAGACAGTATATTTACAATGCTATAATTTAGATACATACAAGAATATAAAATGTAATTGACAAAATTCTTTTTCTTTAAATTGTCCTTTAATTTAATTCTGGGCTTTCGCCAATGCTTCCATCAATATTAGACTAAATCAAGATCGTGTAAGGTTAGAGATTGACTGTACTTCAATAAGGTTAATAATAACGTCAATACAGTACTAAGTTAGATTAAATAATTGCCTAACTACCTCGGTGGTATAGCTGGATAATTGGCTACGCAGACATATAATCATTATCTATACTATGCGACAAATACATTTGATGTGCTAGAGCATAATTATAGTTATTGAAATATGGCTGGAGAATTTGGGCATTTTATATTACATTTCCAACTTTTTTTAGATTTCTGAATGTTAAGGTTAAGCTCTTATATGTAATACTGTGCCGCATTTCTTACTTGAAATTCATACAGTATCTGCGCTAGAGATAATTTAATAAATGCTTAATGAGCACTGCTTATTTTTTCACATGAAATAATTGAATATTACCATATATCTGATGGGATACAATACATATCATTGAGTTTTATTTCCGTAATAATTACATAATGTTTAGTATGAACATTAAAAAAGTAATTATTTATTCTCTTGATATCATTTGTATCAGTTTATCACTTTATTATGACTGATAGTGTTCCGCTCGCTCGACATATTGCAATCCTTAACAATGTTTCCATGCAGTGAGGCGATGAGTGAAAATGTGTTTTTGATATCGTAACTTAGTTATCTCTAAATTTGAATAACTATATTTGCTGACACAACTCTTTAGTCATAGACATGCAAGACCTTCTTGGGTATTAATGATGTAATATTAGTAATATTAATATAAAATCAATTACATTTACTACTGGCTTTGTTTTAAGTATTCTCAGATTTCTAAATAAGCAACTGCCAGAAAAGTTTATAACGATAGTTCACATTTTTAAAATAATAGATATCGGTAGTTAATTTCATGCACCTTGCTCTTGATTGAGATTACCATCTTTCCGAATATTTGTAGTAGTTTACGGTATTAGTAAGAATAGTTTATAATTTTCAATATGCTTTTAATTAAGAAAAATATCAGTACAGGAAATTTTGGTTTACGTATTCATATATTGAATATAGTTTCACAGTAAATTTTATCTTTGTAATTGAATTTCGATTATCGAAGCACAGTGAGTATGAGCATTATCATTCGGTACGCTATTTAAAAATATTTTATGCTACTTTTGCTGAATTTGTTTACTAAAACCTTAGTCTCAGAATTTTCATTAATTTATTGGCCAGTTTCGTTAGTTATCAAGGTCTTAAATAATCAATCGCACTTTATGCTTAACTAATACTAGGACTTAACTTTGCTCATCAAGTGCATATTGATCTCATTGGATCGTAGACAGACTAACATTGATTAGTTTTAACTTGATATAATTCTTCGTCACTTTAACAAATAATACAGCTTAATTTTAAATAAGTAGTAATTAGAGGATGCAATATAAATTATGTAATACTGTACTGTATTATAGTGAGATCCTCAAATGATTAGTTTCGGTAATCAATTAGCTACGTCATGCACAATGTTAAAACTTATACTGGAAATACTACTAATATTATTTTATTAGAGAGAGAATAACATGCAATTTCAGCTGCAGTAATAAAAAATAGTATTAACCTACAGTAGTAAATTACACATAAATTATCAAATTCAACAAGACAATTTTTCGATTGATGCAACGTAACCGTCTCCATTTATTATTTCTATCGACTGCGATCAATTACAAAAAGCGAGAAAAGCCTGGTACATTTCCCTTCAAGGTATGTGTGGGCGATGTTGTGCATGGCGTGTAAGAAAAGTGCATCCATATATTAGCTATTGATTACCATAACCATTACCTATTTATTAATTAGTAATATTCCACCATTCCCTATAGTGAATAGCAATTGTAAAAGACTGCCATTTATTAGTAGAAGTAAACGTTGTAAACTTAAGAATATATAATGTATCGGAAATTTTAAGCTCGAAGATATTTAGTTTGCCTATTGCTAAGGCTAAGCATAACAAGCCATTTTATTTAAACTACTTGACTTGACTTACTAATTCTTAAAATAAATACTTTTCGTCTTAGCCTATTCATCTGTAACTATGTGTCATCACCAGATATTGTATATGTCTTAAAGAAATATATAGTAACATCAGTAATATATTAATACTTTCTGTAATAGCAAGGAGGATTAGCAAATCGGTGTCATTTGGATCGTATGCATCAAAAAGCGATTCTAAAGATTAACTCAAAATATTACGTTTAATTTATGATTAGACTAATCTCATATTATACGTGCATCATATTTTAGAGAAGAATCGCTAAAACTGTGTAAATGTACATGAAACTGAAATAGCTGCTATCAACTTCATGTATCGAGTAAGTTATAACCGTCTGTTAAATCTATCGTTAAACGTACAGCTTGCGCCCTGTTTATACGTAACTGTTTATCAGGTCAAACTTTGTGTACGTGTATCTTTCTTGTACTCGCTCTTTCCAGTTAGGAACTTATAAAATAGCTAATATTCTAATAGCGAAAATATTCATCTTAAGGATCATGGGGAATCATTTATTATGATTACTATATATCTTATCGATCTATTCCTTGAAATTTGAAAATTATATAATTTTTTGAATTTTTTTACCCAATCTTTATCAGGATACCCTCCCCATCCTTATCGTATTTATTTGAAAAGGTTTGTAAATTTGAGAATTATTCAAACAATGTTAATTCTGCAAACTATTATAATAAGCATTATTTTGAAATAAAACTGAGATTAACACTTAGCCATTCTCTTTTTGATTAGTGTAATGCTGCCTTTAGTGGAAACAAGCTGCAATTCCGTTACTTAGCTTACAAAATATGTATCTCCGATGTTTCTTTCGTAGTAGCTTCCCATATTAACGACTTCTTCTGGTTACTTTAGCATAAACTAGTTGACAGTCTAAATTATATA